GTAGAAATTCGAATAGAATTATACAGTATATATAAATTTTTGTATAGGAATGCTTCAAATGTTTTAGTTTTATTGCTACAAGAAAACTATTCTTTTTTTTTTTTTTTGAATTATTAATATATTTCATATATAAATTTGATATATTTAGTCAAAAATTCAGAATTATACAATCTATAAAAAGGTATTTGAAATTTTAAATAACACGAATAACTTTCTCATGACATTGTTAAGATCGAACAAATGAAAAAAATTATAAATCGTAGGACATAATCAATAAAGCGAAAACAATTAAAAAAACGCGTATGCTTTCGATATTAGAAAGGTTTCGATAGTCAAAGGTTATTGTGAAAAAACGAGAACATTATCCAAAAAAAAGATCGGATGAATCAGGAATTTCCATAGGTAATTGCACCGATTATTGGCCTCGTGCAACTGATGCCGTTTACTGTTTTCGTCCCCCTTGTCGCTAATTTTGTTGGTCGAGTGAGAGAGAGAGAGAGAGAGAGAGAGAGAGAGAGAGAGAGAGAGAGAGAGAAAGTCTGATAATCGTTTCACGTGGATATACACGCACACTTTCGAAGAGAAAGAGGGTGTTGAGCGTTTAATATGGCATAAATTAGTTTGGCATTTACGACAGATGCGGGGGAGGCGTACATACCTGCGCAATATGGTCATAAAATTGCCCTTTCTATCAGATCTGCTTATACTAATCGAGGATCTCTTAACTTGGTTAAAAAAAAGCTTATATATGATGTGTTCCTACCTAAAGAATTTGATCCAATAGCGTGTGCAATAACGTGGCAATTTTTATTACCAGAGATACTGGACAAAATGGTAACTAATATGAATAATCATGAATTGTTAATATCGAAGAAAAAAGGACGATCGAAATTCCTATGATCGATAAGGGAGGTTAACAATTTTTTCGTCGACAGTGTGAAAACGTTTTATTCGGACGCACGATGGTCAAATACGGGAAGGTAAAAAGAGGAGCAATTATATAATCATTATTTCCAGAAATTGCGTCGGAGTTTGAGGTACGGCGAGAATATATATCGAGACGAAATCTACCCTTCCTCATATTAATTCTCCCGTTCTCTCTTTTTTTGATCGTAACTGTTATTAACACGGAACAGAGAGACCAGAGAAGTGAAAGAAAATAGAACGATGGAGACAAGAATGGAACGAGAGAAAGAGAGAAAAAGAAACGAAGACGAAGAGGGCAGACGATCCAACCGCGTTAACCTATGATTCACCTCTTAATGCGCCTTCTCTTTCTGCTCGATTAATTATTAGAACGTCGGATTAAATGAATATGTACACGAAACTTGAGCTAACTCGATTTGATCTTGTTACGTGCCGCCGGGCTATTAGAAAAGATATTTCCAAGAGGAGCCAGGATCTATTCAAAGGAATTCTTGGAAATATTTGAGAACATTGCTGTATAGAAATTGTCCGTGTTCGTCTAATCAATGCACGAAACAAATGCCCGATATATATTTCTTCATAAAGATGCGATTACGAATAAATGTATAAGTAAGTAAGTGAAAAAGTAAATAAGTATGCTTACTTACTAATGCTTCTTGTAGGATTTCAGAACTTGCGCGGAGAGTAACGAAAAGAGAAGTGGTCTTGTAGACGCGTGAAAAGAAAGGTAAAATAATAGGAAGTAAGATTATATCCTTGTAAGCTCTGAAGGATCCTCGAGGCACTCGAGACAAGATCGTTAGGAAAGGGTAAGACAATGGCGGAGAATGGAGCATTCGCTTACATTGTTTGTCTTGAGTAAACTCGTGAGTACCAATTTTAAGGTTTGGCAGGAAGTGGTAGACATTTAATGTTACCTCCATCTATCTTAAAATACTCGACGAAAAAGAAAGTGAAAGAGAGAGAGAAAAAAAAAGAGAAGGAGGAAGGAAGACGGCTATTACAAAAGAACAGAAATGCTTACATGATAAAACTATTGTATGTTACGGCGGTTAAACAAATTAACACTGACAGCGAATAAATTCTTCATGGGTAATAAAGAAACTACGAGCCGGTGTTCACGGGGGGTAGATTCACTGACATATGGTCGCCGAAATTCCACGACTCCTGTGCCACGCGTACGCATCACTTTAACCATCATCGTATTTTATATTGTGCATTTTAAATAAACGTTCGATCCGAAATTTGTGATATGTTGTTTTGAAAAGTAGAAGCGTTATCATTCGGAGGGAAGAACTAGTCGATCAAAAATCATATCCCGATGACAAATCATCCCTTAAGAAAATACAAGTCATCCTCCAAAATGAAATTTATCTTCTCTAATAGTAATTGAAATTTTTCTAAGTTTCAGGATATCATGTTAGTATACTATGTGAAATCCAAACTTACCAATTAGTTTGAACAATTTTTCCTTTAAATTCGATCACGTTTTGATAATAATAAAAAACTGAATATGAAGATAATATCATTAGATAAAAGGATAGTTAAGAAAATTGAGTAAAAACTAACGGGATGTGTATTAGGATGAAATTCTTATTCCGATGTCGGCTTGGCCGACTCATAATAAGAGTAATAAATGAATTAAAGAGTGAGGGCGGGGGGTATCCGCCACGCCACTTTACGGCCCTGACTTTCGGCTCGGATAGGGTGATGGTCCTTTTAACTGGTTCAATTAGTCTCCATCGCATCCCTAGGTGGGGAACTTAGGTGGATCATATTTTCTACATAGAGATATACACAATTGTGTACGTCCAGGAACGTACTCAAATGCTTATGTTAGATAAATATCTTAAACCACGCTCGACCCAGACCGTCCAAACTCCCTGCAATTTCCACATGTGTATGTACATTTACGTATATACGTATTTGTACAACTTATGTGCTTCTACTTATGCTAACGTAGGTAACGCTTAGGTAGCGCTTTGTGGCTTTACTCAACGACAATCGAAACAATGGAGTCACTGGCCGATGCCGTGACTTACAACAAGACGGAATTGTGCCGGTGACACCTTTTATAGATAAAACAATCCGACAAAAACTATCTTTAATTATTTAATTACAATAGAAGCTAGAAAAAAAAAAGACTTTCTCTCTTTATAAAGTATAATGATTTGAAAATTAAAAAGAAGGATATGACGTTTATAATGAACGATGAGTTATGAGAAAACATTTCACAGGAATATTTGATAATAGGAACGTAAGGATAAAATAATAATTAGAATAAATTGAAGAAAAGTTTAATTCTTTGTTAAGATACGTGGGCGAAACACATAGAAATTCCCTAGCAGAAGCAGTCAGTGTAAGGGCTTAACTGACGGTGAATCTTCCCACACCAATCAAAGAGCACACCCCTCGAAAAGCGTTTCCTCTTCGTCGTCGTCGTCGTCGTCATGTTCGTCTCTCTTTTTCTCTCTTCTCCTCAACCCCTCGTAAATCCCTCGGGAGTTATCTACCCCTGGTGTACGTTGCTTATGTGTGTATGCTTAGGCTCTATGAGTCTGTCTACGACTCTAAAAGCCCCTTAATTCCGTTCATTTGTACCACTGGCATTCGTATCGAAGGTCACGAATAGAGAAGAGTTCTTACTGTCGTCGGATTCTACCAGTCAATGTTTCTGTCCATTCTTGTTGATCAATCGATCACATTCGATCCACTTATCTATTGTAATATCCAATATTATTCACACAAAGCCCTTTTATAGTTAATCATTAGACAAATACGACTACGTATCTATGAGTTAAGACTATCCGTTAATTAAACAAATAATTTTGATTTATTAGAAAAATAAGAAAAAAGAAAATTTGTCAGAGTTTATAAATCATTTCTATCGGGAGTAGATAGGATTCAGTATTTACATAACGCGCGTATAGTCTCTCTTAGCTTACGACTGTTAACGATCTTTTAAGGTAGTAACGATTCGATTTGCAAAATACTCGAGAGACTTATTCACACGAACGCACTCGACAAGGTCCAAGGAAGGCGAGCACGGGATGTTTATGGGGCTATAGTAGAACTGGTAGCGTATTGGTCCACGCAGCATGGGGTATGTACGAGACGCACCCGTACCCCCATGTGCTGTCAGTGAAGTGCCCCTTCGTCCTACGAAACGCTTATGTATATCCATGGGAAAAATATTGGTTTATTTGGATGCTCGAAAATTTATTCATATGTAATAAAAGACGCTATAATTCTTATACATATATCTAATTATCCTATGTAATAAAGATTAGAAGCAGCAAAATTATTTTCAATAATTCGAACTCCTCGATGATTATTTCAATCATTGATTTAAACGTTTTCTTTTCGAACGAACGAAAATAATTTTTAAAGGGCAAAAAAAAAAAGGACATTTTTCAAGTCCATTCGTAGAACATAAGAAAGGTGGAAAGGCTGTACTTTTCGAGAGAATGTACGGCATGGTGGACACGTGACCACCAGGTTCGACACGTGGTCTCTAACACCAGGTGGTCCATTCTCCGTCATGCATCGTGTCGTTAAACGCCGATACCGTGATAAGGGAACACGCGGGGGTTGATGCACCCCGCGACGAACCGTTTTTCCGCAACCATCTTATCTCAACGATCTCGAAGCTCTTTTCGAGACCTGCTCGGACTTTTTTAATAAACGAAATGCAACGATATCTTTTTATTTTCTTCATGGTTTACGCTTTAACGAATATTGAAGTAAAATCAAATCGATATTAAATGAAATCTTTGATGGACAATGATGAACAATACTTATTTTAATGAAAACAAATTTAAATCAGACAGATGAAAATTCATGAATCCATTGAGAGAATCGTGGGAGTTTGAGAAAATTCGATCGTAGAGGAGAATGAAGGCTTTAATTGTATGCTCGATGTGGGCAGATTGACGAGCCAATAAGGCATGAAGCGACCGATCAATTTACTTCCATTTCCTGACGATCAGAAGCCTCCACTATCTTCCTATCTTTTCCGCAAAGTTCACACGAGTCAGGAACCGCGAAGGTATAGTGCAAGAGGGTAGACTTACATAATAGGGGATGATTGCCGTTTGACAAGCCCCCTTTATATTATCTTTAATTCATCGCCAAACGATAGGGTTCTTTCGTTGCACCTTTGATGCTTTCGAAACACGAGAATATCCTGGAACAATAATTTCGGGAATAATTTGAAAATAATTAATAATTAGTTCATTTAAATTTAGTACCTAAATGTTCTATAATATTTTTTACGATCGATTGAAAAATTAATTGGATAAAAAAAAAACCCCCCAATAAGAATGCAAGAAAATCTTTAGATAAATTTCCCATATGTCTTTCACGATTGATACGAGACTAAAGTTTCAAGCTCTCATCTAGAATTACGAGCAGACTGTGTCTCGATCTTCCCATTCAGAGGAATATAATCCACTGATCGTCAATACAACAGAACGATCGTTTTATTTAATAGACTACGACGGAGGATTGAAAGGTAAGATTTTGAGGTTACTCGAGCGTGATCGAAATCAATAGGCGCGTGCCAAAATCTAACGGAAAAATGGTTTTAGAAAATATTTATCGAATGACTTTGTAGTGAAACTTACTCGCACGAGAAAAAGGATGTTCGTTCAACGATGATATACGAGTTTGTCTTTTGTAAAAGTCGATTGTCAAAGATTTTCCATCGGACGACATCTTGATCCCACCCACTATTCCCCTTAACCTTTCATTTTAACTTTCTATTATCATAAATGTAGGCGGTTTTGCTTCATGAATTGATTTCGACTCGTGTCAAAAATTGCTAGCCAGATTTTGGCCCTTTTTCCTGGAATCGTACAGACGTATTTCCTATCTGCTTTTGTCGAAAACCGACGCGTGCCTAACTTCGATGGAAGAAAAACATTCGATCCATCACCGAGATCCTTGTTAGATACTATTGTTCACATTAGAATACAAAACTCTACTTCATTAATAGTTTATTTCTATATAAATATCGAAGATTTTATTACGAGAAATTTAATCGAGTTTAATAGAGAAAATTTACGCGATAATCTTTCTCCTTTTTTATCGCAATAAAGGAACACTCGTAAATAGAGAAAATTTAAAGAATTAGGTGTACTTTTGTTTAACGATGATAACAGACTAATCGCAGTGTAAATTAAGAAGTCATTTGGGAATCGATTCTCAACGGTTATAAGCGCATCCAGTACCTCCCTCATACTGAAAGGATTACAGGGTTGATTATTGACACAAGGGGTTGTACCGGTCTTGGTTATGCCCCTTTTGCGTTTGGTGACACCCTATATGTTTGAACACATTTGTTGATAACCCCTTACCGATACCTTTCATATAAAGTTACAGGGATTTATGAAGTACAAATATTAGAAACATCGAAACATTCCTATCCTGAAAGGACCACTTCACTCTCCCGATGATACCGATCTGAAAGTTTCTTTGCTTGAAAAGCAAAAAAAGAAAAGCAAATAGAAATACCTATAAAAGAATCTCTCCGTAGTTCCTCGCTTTCTTTCAACGATTTTATCTATTAGTAGATTCATTTTGAGTCATCCCTGATCGAGTCCATCCCCTTTTCGCATTAGGGTAAGTTTTTAAAAATTGCAAAATTTATATCGCCAGCGCGTGCCAGATTCTGACCGTGAAGGATCTTCTCTGTGGGGTTTCCATCGTTTCAAGAGGTTGCTTAATAAAAGGGCATCTTTTAATTTATACACAACCCCCATTGTTCGGAGGGACACCCTGCCTTTTTCGCCATCCATACGGAAGTGAGGAGTACAGATGGATAAAAAAAAAATTTTAATATGGAACGTAAACGAGGATTTGCAATATGGATGTAAATATAGTATAAGCATAATGTTACTGCGACATTGTTTCCAAACGATCGACATCGATCGATCATATAAAACGAAGCAATTTTCTATTTCACAAAGTTATCGAATTTGAATATATTTGACGAAGTAATACAAGGTTCTTATAAGTAACGTTTATATAAGTTACATCGACGATGTAAACCGGACGCGACACAGACCCAATCCTTAACAAAGGAGTCAATGAGACTTCCAAGAACTGTTCGATCAAAGAGGAATTTTTCCTTTAACGACGTCAAATGATATATATAAAAAAGGGATGATCGTGAACGTTAAAAGTCGAAGATCTTAAGTGCGATTAGACTAATGATAAAGGACACGCAGGAGGATCTAAAAACTAACATGTAGATGCAACGACAACCGTACCTTACATTTGGTTTTCGTAGATTTGCAGCTGAGAACATACGGGTGCCCTAATGAGAAATAAAGAAGATCCACGAATAATAGATGAAATTCATCTAAAAAATTTATAATGCCGCGACAGGCGCGCTAGGTTCAGGTAAAAGAAATAGAAAGCGAGAGTGTATAAATGCTCCCGTATCGTGGAAAGATTTTATGTTGCGATAACTCAGAGAAAGAAAGAGAATTTTTTTCTACTTCCCATTTTGCTTCCACCACATCGTGGAGATGTTACGAGACCGAAGCCAATTTAAATCAATTTACCCGCCACCCCCTGCCCTAAACGAGCTTCAATTGGTATACAATGAAAATCGGGGGTCCTTCGAGGAGACTCTGACCAAGGGAAGCCTTGCCTATGCCACTTAAATCTTGAAACTACCTATAAAGATCGTTTCGTCTTATTTCATACCATACGTTTAAACGGAAATAAAACTCGTGACTCACGACACAATACCGCAGATTCGAATATCTATAATGTAGAATATCAAACTGGATGGTAAATTGATGAAGTTAAGAAGATGTCAAAATGATAAATCGTCAAAGAAATCGATCAATGTCAAAGAATTAATATCATATTTTAGAAAATAACCTAAAGTAAGAAATATAGTTAACGTTAAAAAATTGTTAATGCTTAAAAATTGAAGTTAAGAAGATATCATTTCGACTCAATGTCAAAGAATTAATATCATATTATCAAAAATAATCTATCGGAAGATTAAGAAATATAATTAATCCTTAAAAACTGCGATATTGATTGATAAGAAGATTGAGAATAAGGGAAAACCATTCAACTTAATATCGCTAACTATTAACTCAATCGAGAATCATCAAACGTGCTCCCCCTTTTTCCTCTCTCTCTCTCTCTCTCTCCCTCTATGATGTTCTAAGCGATGCTATAAGAATCATATTCCTATCGATAAAAGATAACATCTTTCACGCGATTTAATGAATGTGGGAGAATTGTGGAGTCATAGGAAACCAGGTACGTAGCCGTATACCGTGTGAACGCATTTAAACTTGGATAATGGAATCGTTTACCTGTTAATTGTAATTAGACGATTAGGTCGTGGATTCTAATCGATCGATCGAGAACATCTCTCGTGACGAACGAATGTAAAAGTTGGGACTTTATCGTATCTTTTGATTCAATTAATTTATTAAGAAAGAAAATTTTTGTTATCAGCTTGAATCGATAAATTATTAAAAACATCTTTCGAAACATTTTTAATAAAGCTTACGATTCGATTAATCTCCGCTTGAATTATTCCCCTAAAACTATTTTTTTATTAACATTTTTATAATTTTTCACGAATAAAAAACTTTCGTTAATACTAACGAAGCATATCCTTTAAATCCTTTAGTATATCCATAAAAGAATTTCCCATCAAAGTGAGAAGTGATTGGTCTTTGCTCACGAAGGCTCATCTTTATGTTTTGCACCGAAACATATGTCACGACACCCAAGAGACGAATCGAGGGGTACTTTTTTTCTGCGAACGTGCGCCTTTATTCGTGGGGCGTATTTTCCTGGGGATAAATGCGATCAAACGTAAGGTATAATCTGTTTAATTTATCCAAAGGGGATAAAAAAAAAAAAACATGAAAATTATTCCATAAATTTATTGAATAATATTTTCTTAAATCATCTAAAGAAAATTCAATTACTTTTCATTTTACACTAACGGTGTTTCTAAATTATACGTTATAACGCGATATCAATAAGTGATATTTTTCGAAAATGTAAATTATCATTCAAATATAGAGTTCAGAATATGCGCTTGGTTATTTTACAAAACGATATCACGAAGTTTCTTCGTATCTGAATGAAAGATTATTCCGATAGAACCACGAAAATTCGTAACGTCCCTTTGTGAGAACTTCGATCTTCTCTCTGGTCTATAAAGCTAACACGGTACGCGTTGAGTGGATTACCAACTTCGGTGCAGATCTGATCTCAGAGAGCAGAAGGCAGCTTTGCTTTGAGAAACCGGAAGCAGCCGGCACGAGCCGAGAGATGCGAGCGGGTTACCAATGTGCACCGCTTACTCATCATCTGCCTTTCATTTGAATCAAGGGTTCGTTGCCATTAGAGAAAAAATATCCAAGAAAACGAATTGAAATTGTTATTTTCTTCGGGGCAAATTAATTTCTTTTATTATTTTTTCAAATATTCACTTGTATGATCAAGAGAGAAGTAAAGCTTTGACTTTAAACAATAAAGATTGCGCGTAATTTTTCTTTAATTTTTTTTTTTTTTTTTACAACATTTTAATACCCAATAAAAGTGTCAATAATAAATAAAAACTAAGTACTATCAACAACATTTTATTTGTGTCAATGGCATTTAGTTGGAAGTATTCATCGAATTGCGTAAAAAGTAAGCAAATCCCTGTTTTGCATACGAAATCTCTATGAGCAAAACTACTCGAAGTCTTTATCGTATTCGAGGGCGCTCGCACGTGGTTGACAGGTGACGGAATATTTAAGTGTGCCTCGAGAAGTAACCGTCACCTCCTACAAGCTGCTTTTTTTGAGACACGCGACGAGCATTGTATGCAAATGAAAGACAGATGTAATAGATAAGCAGAAAATTTCATTCGTTTCGTATCGTCTGCTCTTGCTCGCCACGTCTAAACGTCGAAAGACAGATAGTCAGAGAGAAAAAGAGATCTCAGTTGAATTTAAGTAGAATGAAAAACGTAGAAATAACTATGACGAAATAGTAATTGTAAAAATGAAGATTCATTCAAATAACCGTACTATATGTTACATTGAAACAGATTCAATGAACTCGAGAAAAATAAATAAAATATAAATCGTATGAACATCGTATCGGCATTTTTTGTCTATCCACCTGAACAAATTTACGAATGCAATCGTTATTTTTCCCCAAAGACTAATTAAAATAATTCCCAATTTTGCGATTATCAGATCAATCGACGATTTCGCGAAAATCTTGCGAAAAACTGCGAACGAATTTAACGAATAAAGAGACGTAAAGATAGGACTGATTCACACCGGCCCAATGAAGGACCATCAGGCTTCTATATAATACCCTCACTTTTTTACACCATATTTTTCGCAATAATTGTCGCTTGAGACAAAAGCGAACCTCGATATTTCTCTTTTTTTCTGTTTGTTTTTTGGTCTATTTTCTTTTTAGTGAGCCATGCAGGAGGTAAAAGAGCGATGCGCGATTTCGAGTTTATTGCGTAGAAACTGAAGGATGGTTAGCGGGATCAGCGGTGAATGGTTGGCTCCCATGGGTCAGAGGGTAACAGTCCAGAGATAGTGTCAGTGACAGAATCTGCACTCGCCAGTACGTATATTATATATATATATATATATATATATATATATATATATATACCTGTGTGCAAGTAACCAGAGTGTACTGGCATGGAGCCATACAATAGGCCAGTTTCAGGGACAATAGCCGTGGCCAACAATCAAATCAGCGTACTATCAGCCACCCACCCCATTCGCGTTTATCCTTTGATCCGCTCACTCGCTTGCTTCCTCGTTCGTGGGGCGGCAAACACTCCTGATTGCACACCCTCTGTGTTTAAACAGCCTCCAACTCTCTCTCTCTCTGTTCTACACTGCTCTACTCTCTCACCACCCCTCTGTCGATTCTGTCGTCTCTTCCTCTCTCTCTCTCTCTCTCTGTCTCTGTCTCTGTCTCTGTCCCTCTCTCTCTCACTCTCTCGAGGTTCTATTAGAGCGTTCAAAAGCTCCAAGAAAGAGCCAAGGGAGGAAGACTTTCGTTTGGTATAAAACTCTGTTTCTTCTCTTGAATCTTAATTTTCTAACGTAACGATACTTATTTGAAAGTTTTGAAATCAATGAGTTGAAGAACATTGGTTTTCTTCTCTTTTCTACGATATCCAAATAAAAATAAAAATGATATAGAAAATGTCTATTAACATAAGTATACTTTAAGAATTCTGAAATTTATTACTAAACTTAAGATAGACTAGATGGTTCCTTTTTTTAAACAAAAATTATTCTATGTTTTTTTATTTGATAATCATCTTGACACACCTGTCGGCACGTGGTAGGAAGTAACGCTAGGGTTATCAGGAGCACACGTGCCATTATATCAAAAAGCACGTGTAGAATAAGTACAGGAAATCGTCATTACGACATTGTTACACCAACAAATGTACAGATATTTAAGACATCAAATTCATGTAATACTGTATCCTGATAAACCCTTCGTCGTCTTTCAAACGATATGAAATATCTTTTATCGATTGTATTAATATATGAAACAAAAAAGTGATAATCTGTTATACGATTAAATATTTTTAAATTTTCATTTTTAAGAATTAAAAAAGAAAAGCTTGCACTGTTCTAATAAAAAAAAAAAAAAAAAAAAGAAAAGAGAGAAAGAAAAAAAGAAGAAAGAATAATGAACTTTATAAGTCGATTATCGTTTATCGTAAATAGACGTATGGCTTAAAAGCGTGAAATGATGAATTCGTTTCTAGTCCCTAGTCCCTCCTATCTCTTTCCCTTTTTAAATGGGAATCGTAGGAACTCGACAATTTTGAGGACGTGTTCACCTCGGCGGATATGTTTGCGTCGTGGGTTCAGGTTCGATCGAAGCGTAACGGGCCGTTGTCTTGAATGCGGGTACCTGGGGTTGGGGGAGGCAGAAGGGATGAAGAAAAGGTAGGAGGTAGGTGGTACTTACGAAGGGACATCCCGGCCCTATTTCGAACCCGTAAATATGTGATGATATACTTATTTACATATATTAAATGCATACTACGTATTTAGATATACGCCTAAGAATAACTCTCTTATTTATATTTATTTTTCTCAAACCATTTTAATCCACTTTTTACACGCTTAATTTATATCGTGTTAAAAAATTATCAAAAGTTTATTATCGAATTTTAAAACATTATCGTATTAATCTACTTTCTTGATAATATCACTTTATCTATCTATCGACTTTGATATCGACAAGTTTTTGAATTTTTTATGTAATCAGTACAATGTAAAAGATCAAATATTAGCCGATTTCGATTTTTATGAGAAGAAGATCCTCGATACAGAAGAATTTACCGATACTACAGAGAATTCCAAAGCTCTTTTAGCTGACGAAAGGGGGATGCAGGAGGAGTACGAAACGATCGATTGATGCAGAGGTCGAGAGGGGTTACTACCGACGATTAGATACACTCGAAAACGTAAGCAGACGCTAATTGGTCAAGAGAAACTCCACCCATGGGCGGAGCTTCGAGTTTACTCGTCAGAGAAGGGCAACTGAGGTGGATTCTCGAGAAGCCCGGTACAACGTGCTGTCTCCAGCCTAGGTCGTTTCAACTATCTGAAGGCGCATTCAGTTCACGCGGTGACTTCGAGTCGCATGCATCGATAGATACGTATATATGTATATATATATATGTACACATATATATATACATATATATATATATATATATATATATATAAGGATATTTATGTTCCGATCGAGTAAACAAGGAGTTTAACAAAGTTGAAAAGGACATAGGATCTTTTATCAAAAAGGACCATATACCTCGGCGATTTATAATTTCTTCGATTGTGTAGATACTGTGATATATCGGTAATAATATACGCGGGTGTAGTTTAGATAATTCGATCTCTTAGAGATACGTGAATTTATTTTATTTTTCGTTTTATTAGTCAGTGAAGTGCCCTTTGGCCATCGAATGAGTAACTTTCAAACGATATCTTTGATCTCCTTGAAGACCGACCAGTTTTGATTAAATTTCTCTGTCATTTTCTGTGCGACATCATTCACGAAGCGGCATCGACTATGGTAGTATTGTAAGTACTACAAAGTGTAATGAACTGTATAATAATTATCTACGTTTCTTTCTTAAGAATGAATTCATTTATATTATAATTACGCTACATCAAAGTCTAAAGTTATCTGACAAATCATTACTCAATATCAGCTAAATCCTTCAACTTCGGTCACATAGTATCTCGTAGCTTATCTAACAACGATACTTATTCGGATTCTATCAAAATCGATGACATTAGAACAGATGTCAACCATTGTCAGCATCGATTTCTTTTCGCGAAAGAAGAGAGAATTTCCATGGTATCTAATCAGTGGGCGTACTGCGGGTTTCCTATTGGTGTGTGGGCGTTATCACGATACCCGATTGGTCGGTCGGTTTTCTATAGCAAACTTCCTATGTGCATGCGCATGGACTTATCCTTTACGGAACTTTATTAATTTCGAGATTACGTACACATACGCTCGATAACGTTTGCCGTAATTAAATATGCTTCGATTGAAATCAAACTCCATTTAATATTCCTTTATATGATGCGTCACGAACATTTGCAAATATTACCTATATAAAATTGTACCATTGTTTTTACGTAATAAAAATCCGTGATAGATATTTCGTTGATTTTTACGATTTATTATATCGAGTGATAATTCCGATAATAACGATTTAATTTTTCGCGAATAATATCTAAAAGAATGAATCGAATAAGATTTTTCGTAAAGACGTCCTTCGTTAATTCGTAAAATCCCGATTACGGATATACTTAAGTCCCACCATTGATCACGACCCAACACCCCGAAGACAGATTAAATGAATGTCCGCGGGTAAGACGATCCTCTTTTATCTCGAATCTCGGGAGTCTTTCTTTCTCTTTCTCTCTTTCTCTCTCCCTTCTTCGTGCCCTCTAAAAAGAGGAACTCTTTGAGCCTACGATTCACCTCTTCACGTCATTCGAACCCTTTTATAACGATTTAATACGACATACGAATTGGATCCTACATTTCATCGTGTACTAAATTCGTATGTATCGAATGAATCGTAATATAAAACGATATTACTTTATAAAATGTTTATTCAATCGATTTCTCGGATAAAAACATCGAGCAATTTATCGAAATCGAGTCAACCGATAACGTTACTTTTATCATAATCAAAATACTCTAGTTCATATCAATTTTTAATTTTTCTTCGGCCCGATAAAAAAGAGATCGTATCATTTAACGCACGTGAGGAAGCGAGAGAGAGAGAGAGAGAGACGCACGCAAGAAAGGGTGAAGGATTAATTCATTTATAATCGCGAGATTAACTCACCACGAATTAATTCACCGCTTGTGAGTTAATCTCGTGGAAAGATCCGAAAGGAGCGTTACTCCGACTAGGAGATTCTGCTACAGAGAATCTGAGGACGAGAGAGAGAGAGAGAGAGAGAGTGAAGAAAAAAGGATGAATAGGAAGAAGGTAAAGAAAAGATTAAAAGAAGGTAAAGAAAGGGAAAGAGATAAAGCAAAAGAGAGATACAGATAGAAAGAGAAATTTCTTTCCTTTTCATCGGTGCCTTTCGTGATATTTAATCGCCTCACCGCGACTCGTATCTCCCTTAATATCTGAATGCACCCATACCAAGAGGAACCAACAGTTCTTCCACCTTTTTTCCCCTCTCTTCGAGTTCAGAATGAATTTAAGAATATTCTCGCGCTGTTTTCACCCTTTTCTCTCTCTCCCTCTCTCCCCCTCTTTTTCTTTTTGTCTTTCACTTTCTCTCTCTCTCTCTCTTTCAGTATTCCTACGTCTTCGACTTCAGACAATCTCGGCGCAGCATCGTCCGCCGATGTATCATCTTACTCGGTGCTAAAGGCGATGACTTTATCGCCGATCCGGGCAATCATTCACCTAAGCAGACTCTTCTCTCTTTCTCCTTCCCTCTTTCCTACGTTACGTTGACTTTCTCTCTTCCTCGCGTCGTTCCTCTCAAAGGTGTCGACGTAACGTATAGTAAACGCCCGCGTGCTTGACCCTCCCTCTCCCTCTCTCTCTCTCTCTTTCTTTTTTTCTTGCACTCTTACTCTTGCTTTAGAATAATGGAACGATAAAAAAGGAATGTAAAATTATCATCCTCCTTGACTTCTTTCATTCCGGAGAAATAAGAACGAGAACCTAATCTAGAATGGAGGCCAGTAATGTAATAATTAGGTATATTGACGTACACGTAAGTTATTTGAAATAGGAATGATCGTATAAATTATTACATTGTTAATTATGTACTTAAACGGATATAAATATTTCGTTTGAAATATATTATTGAGTTAATTCTGAATTCGTCTAATGAATATTACCATTCATTGAATTTGAATTTTTTGTTTTTTTCTAATTGAAATAGTATTACAAATTGAAAATAAATGAATGTACTATTGTATTTTACTACATTTAGGTATTATTGAAAATTCGATCGGAACTTCATTGAGACGAAAAAATGGACCCAAAGTGACCTGTACGTTTATGAGAAGAGAAAAATTTACTCTCGAGTAGGTGTACAAAGATCGTAAACGTCCGGATAAGCGTGCGACTCGATAAAACCCACGGAAAATAAACGTAACGCGTAATTCATACCAACAAGCTCATCCTGTAGGTGTAGACGAGCGTGAAAAGCTTCGAAGAAACTTTCGCAAACGTATCTTCCTCTTTTCGAACGTTGAGATGACCAAATGAAGAAAATCGAAAGAGCCCGACTTTTATTTCTATCTTAATAACTAAATAACTGAAAAAAATGTTAGCAGAAAAAAAAGAACTAGTGAACTTATCAAGCTCAAATAAATAAAATCAATAAAGCTATATATAGATGTGTAATTGAAGAAATAAACGAATCTTTCGTTCGAAAAAAATAAATCAAATCTATAAGCTATGTACAGATATGTATTTAAAGAAATAAATGAATTTTTCATTCGAAAAATAATATATCTAATTCAAAGTTTAGAATCGTACTCGCTTATTCTCGCTTATCGCCAACCGCATCTTATTTCGATCCTAAATTAAGAAATAGTCGGCTTTTCTTCCTGCCTGTAATCCTAGCCAGCAGGTTGAGCGCGTGGGCGTCTTACTACAATCTCTTCTATGTGTATTACTCTCGTGTCGTTGACACGTTACCTCGCTACGAATAAAATTTTATTCATGTGAATCTCAATATATACCTACATATATATATATATATATATATATATATATATACATATATACTTGTCCAGGTTATATTTAAAATTAAGAAATTTTCTCAATCCGCAATAAATCGTTTCTCGAAAGAATTTAAAATGGGATGAGTTGATTTATTATTTATCAAAAATAGAGCAGTATCGGGATCGACATAGTAAAATGTATTAGGCATATTGGACTTTCGAGTATCGACGTCTTTTGCTCTTCGTTTCACAGTTACATATCAGTAAGAAGTTCAACGAAGGAAGGATTCCGGAAAGAGAGGCTGCGAGCGTGCCTGTTGTCAGGCCACCCACGGGCTCCCATAAGTATGGCGGACAAGGTACTGCCAGGAACGTACCATAAATCGGGATTTTATCTCGAGGCTGCCGTGCTCTCCTGGCGAATGCCGCGTGATTGCGCAACACTAAATTGGTTCTCAGTTTCGATTCGACGAGATTCCGATTTCAGGGTCTTCAAGGTCGAGCTCTGTCGCACGACCACGACGATTTGTCTCGCGAATTCTTTTATTCCTGCTCCACCTCTTCCTCCTCCACCTCCTTCACCATTTCTTCGCTCACCGCCTTCTCCATCTTTCCCTTTTTCTTCTTATTTCTACGAGCGTCTCGTTGATCAACGACGTTCCATCGTTACGGTCCTGATCTTTAAGAAGATAGAGATTGCAGGTGTCAACGCATCTTAATACTTATGTAGCACGAGTTAGTTCTCATCTTTTCCATGCGTCACATCGTTCGCTACCTACGTGCATCAGATTTCTTACTCCTACGATTCGAGAAACGAGCTCGTCTTGAAGTACCAAGGTCGAATTGTGAATACTTGCACGAAAAAGAATAGGATGTCTATTAAAGAGACAGAAAGGAAGAGAGAGAGAGAAAGAGAGAGAGAGAGAAGAAGAGAGAATAGAGAATTATCTATTTTAAAATCGAAACAAACAGCTAATTGATGAAACATCATTCTCATAAAACTTATGTTAACATATCTCGAACTTGCTAAAGTAAATGACGAAATTAGAATCGTTATTGTTAAAGAAACTACCTTTTGTAAACGATCCGTTTGTACTTTCAATGGGAATGTTTTTTTATCGAAGTACCGACGGCCCTTCTGGATTATTGCTTTTTATCGAATAATCTATGATTATATATATCGCGAGTCATAGATCCAAAGAGAGAGACGAAGAAATTCTGATCCTTCGCACGCATCATACGACAAGGGCAAGCTTCCATTTACGTGTAAACCTGACGTTTACTGTCGCCCACCGTAGCGTCAATTAAATTTTGAATAACAACGTGCTAGGCATATACTCGCATAGTGTTCAACCGGTAGGCGTACCTCGTAGCCATTGTCGATTTTACCTTGACGCCTTCCCTTTTATCGACTAATAGATTTTCAAAGAGAGGTATGATTTTACGGCGACACAGAGAAAACGCGAATACGAATAAACCAACGTCATTCATAAATTCGTGAAATAGAAAAACAAAAAAAGAAAGAAAGAAAGATATAAAGAAAGGGAGAGAGAGAACTACCATCGGTAAAATAAACCTAAGCGATCTGAATTTGCGATAATAATAAAATATTCAACGATATTTCAGGAGTCGCGTTGGTTCGCCGACGATGTCAGCGACTGTCGCCGGTAATCAGCAACAACATCCTCATCAGGAATGGGATATCAATGACTCAAATGTTCCAAGGGTAATTACAATCTTCTCTTCTTAATTAAATTTCCATTCTTGCGAGATCGTTCAAGTTAATAGGAAAAATATAATCGTTTACGATCTTTCGTAGAACGTAAGTAAGTAGAAACGATTTTCAAATGATTCCATTTGATTAATATCGAATTTCCTTTTATTTGATGTCTTACTTTGATGTTTTATATTCTTTATTATTATAATATTGGACAAAAATTTAAGATGACTACCTTTTTGATAGATTATTGCACTATATTATAGATATTAAATAACTATCAGTTCGCTATTGTTTTTACAATATACGTATACCTTTTATTTCGAACGATCTGAAGCTTTTTAAAGCATAAACAATCTTTGAGATGATTAGCATAAAACCTCCGATGCTATATTTCCTGCGAGCATTAGTTTAATTACGAATATTGGTATTCCAAATTAATTGCGGTATAATAAGATTGTTTAACATAATACATTATATGTATAATAGCAATTATTAAATTTAAGTAAAAAAAATATGGGTAAACTATGTTTAGTAGAGAGAAAAATTGTCGTATCATTCTACCCAAAAAGAAAAAAAAACATTTGTCGAAATAGCAAATACTATAAGAAGATCTGAGAGAGCATTTATAAATAGACGTGATATATATTTTGAAAGGATAAATAAATATTTAGAATTTCGAAAGAATTACGATAAATCAAAAAGTGATAGACATTGGAAAACTCCTGCAAAAACGAACCGCCGCATCCATCGTTCATCCAAAAAGGATCGTTTTCAGATTACTGCTGATATTCAAAGTGAACAATGATTTGTTCAAATTGACAAATGATTTAAATATTAGTGTAAAAATCGTTCGTAAGCGACTTCATGAATTTAACCTGAAAGGCCATGTATCTCGGAAGAAATCAATCAATCATAAATAAAAATTGGAAACTCTGAACAGTAGAAATATTGAACAGTAGAAAATTTGAAAAAATGCGCTACTTCCTAACGAGTCTAACTTCAATAGGGAATTTTCTGAATTCGATATGTTAAATGTCGAAAGAGTGAGAACTGTAATTCAGAATACATCGTAAAGATAATCAAGGATAGTAATGATAACGTAATGGTGTAGGAATCGTTCTCGTGAAACGAACAAGGACTAATTCGAAAAATTAATGACACTGTGAAGAAATTTCAACATCTGAAGATTATGAAAGAAACCATGATACTTTATGTACGTGAATATATGGCAAACAATTTCATCTTCCCATAGGATAATGACGCAAAATATATGGCTAATATTGTGAAACAATACTTTACAAAAGAAAATATTATCGTTTTACTATGGCTATCATAATCTCCGGATCTTAATCCTATTCAGAGCGGATTTTAATCCGATTTGTGGAATATCGTTAAAAGAATTATGTAGAAGTATAAATAAAAAAAAATCTCAATAACCTGCAATTCGAACAGTTTCGAATTGTTTTTACGTAATTTAATTTATATTAAAATGATATAATATATAAATTATTTTTGACAAAGCATTCGATGAAATCTTGTTTTCTTTAATAAATTTGCATACTAATTATTACATATGTCGATTATATTTATTATTCTCTATGCATTTTTCGTAAAACAAATGTATATCGACGTCGTATCTAGCACGGATCACTGCAATAAACTCGACTATCAAACAACGATATGAACATGAAAAATGGAAAAGTATGAGTTCGCAGCTTACTATCTACTTTAACCCGTACGAACCCGATTGTTATGTATATATAAAAGATTTATAAACTACAGAAGCTTATTATACCGATACGATAGATGCATGATGGGGGAGGACAATGTTCCCTGTTTACACTTGTAGTTCATATTTTATTATCCTCCTATTGTTTATCTTTTAAATGAGTTTAGATTATTCTCTAGTAGATAGATTTATAAGAACAATTGCGAATCGTTGGTTATTTAATATCTAGTAATATAATGGAATTATCTATCAAAGGAAGAGTCGCCTTAAACTTTTGCCCGCCACTGTACTTTCGAATATTTACTTTAAACGAACTTCGAGAATACATAAGAGTATAAATCAATGACACGGATGCCGCTTTAGGTCGTGGAATACGATCCGTGGTGCGAATGGGCGGATGGCCACGTACGAAGGGTATATGGACCGGATTGCGAAGAAGCAAGAAGACATGCATCTGGCTGGGCTATGAGAAATACAAACAATCACAACGTCAGTATCCTTAAAAAGTCTTGCCTCGGAGTTTTAGTCTGCTCGCAGGAATGCATATTGCCTGGCGGTGGAAGGGTACATCTCCGACCGGCGATTTGCGACAAGGTACGCAACCTTTTTCAGATCTCAACGATATATTTCGAAGCGAGAGCTAATAAATTAGTAAAGAAGAGTGTTTTACGAACTTGCTTAACGCTATGCGTTTATAAAACGATTTTTCGTTGTTACCAGAGATCTCGTGATCACGAATCAAAGGTGATAACATTCTCTCTTATGTATTGAAATTAAAATAAAGAATTAATGGGAATTAAAAATGAAATTATACTTTTCAGGCTAGAAAGAAGCAACAAGGTAAACCCTGTCCAAACAGACAATGCACTGGTCGCTTAGAAATTTTATCCTGTCGCGGTCATTGCGGCTATCCCGTTACTCATTTCTGGCGGCATACCGAACATGCGATATTCTTTCAAGCCAAGGGACAACACGATCATCCACGACCAGAAGCAAAGTCTACTTCCGAAGCTAGAAGAAGCGTAGGCGCTGGCAAAAGGGTCAGAGGATTAGCAGTTTTACTCGCAAGAGAGGCTGCTTTAGGTTCCAAGGTATGTTTCATCTTATTTTTTTCAATTAATAAACGATTTTCCGACATACATCAAAAATATATACCTACACACGTTCTGATATAAATGATTTCAAATGGATAGGAAAGATTTTTATATAGAAAACAATTCATTAACCAAATCCAGATTGGTCGCAACAACGTAAGCTATCATTTACGATTGTCTTGAATTACGATATAAAATATATAAATTTTCTATCTTTGGTCATACGTACTCATATAATATATATGTATATTTGATCAGATTCTTAAAACTGTATGCGCCATCTAATGGCTAACGTCCGAAACAACTTTCGACATATGCATCCGATAATAGTCTTTTAAACGTTCATTTTACACATATTATATATACATTATTTTAACCACTTGCGGTGGAAAGACATGCCACGCACGTCGAGATGCTTCTGTTACCGGAATGCCAGCAACGTGTTACACACGTCGTCAGGCGATTGTTGCAGAAAGAAAAATGACGTGGGTGGCACGTCAATTGTTAATGAAATTCTTTACCGAGACACAGTTTCTGCTTGCACTTCATCATGTAAAGTTATCAGTATTGATCCCAGACTGTAAAATGGAAAGTGGTAGTGAAGCCAGTGATATTATTTGCACCCCAAAGTGATTTGCACTCGACTGTTCTCGCACGCACAACCGTGAATTTCTTTGCACCGCAAGTGATTAATAAAATAATATTAATCAATAAGACAGTAGACTGTTATTTATTATTCTATATAATATTTGGAAGTTGACATTTTCTAAAATATCATATAAATATGCTTTTCAAGGTAAAGAAAAATCGATTGCATTGAAAAAATTTACCTGAATAAATGAATCTTCTGGTCCAACTATTTCCTTGTTGTTTTAAAAAACACCTTCTCCGTTGGTCAATAATCGTTTCTCTATTTTGCAGCTAATGTCACTGAGGGGAACGAAAAGATCAAATACAGATTCTGTCGAACAACCTCCAAGAACTGCAGCACCACCACCATTGATCTCGGACAAAGGTGTGGAATATATACGACAACAATTAATAATTATTTATTTTTCTACGCACGATTCATTACGACGAATAATATTCATTGATATTATTAAATTAGCGCGAACGAAATGAATAGAAATTTGAATGCTTCTATAATCTTTAACTACCAAAATCGAACACATGGCGACGTTACCGTCGCAACAGATTGATTGGACGATTCGTATTCTTTGAATTCCTGCCATTGTTATTGGTCGAATAGAATTTGAGCGCGAATTTAATTATATTCGTAAACTACTCGTCATATTTCTCAATAATATAATTGATATCATTTCTTTTCTTTTAGGATATTCCTGTTCTTGTCCACCTTTCGAATGCATGTGTGCCATGCAAACGAACGTTTCATCGTATCAGCAACAGCATCAACAAACCACAATCTATAACCAACAAACACCATCGACTGAATCATATTGGTTACCTGATACGATACCTATGCAAGAAAATACCGTAGGTTATTGTCTACCAAATCAAATACCACAGGAAGCATCTTATCCTGAATTTCCATCATTTACCAGTGATCTCTTCCAACCGGAAGAAATCTTTCAATTAGATCAACCATTACGACCGGACTTTCCAATAAATTCTCAAGACGTTGCTAGATCACCACCGACTTTACTTGATTTGGGAAGTGGTACCATCAAATACGAAGTAAAACAGCACAATCAAGAACAAGTGTATTGGAATCAATTTCTAAGCGAAGATTCGAGCAGCAGTCATCTTAGTATGCCTCAAGACGAGAGACTTCAATTCCCTGCATTCGACACAGACAAAGACACAGGGTTCGCCTCGAGGAAATCAATGAATCAATACGTTTCTGAAAAGGATCAAAATCAGAGTCATTCTCTTGAGGATGCATTGAACTTTCAAGGATACGGTCGAACGCAAACTCCAAAACCTTTTACAAACGATCGTATTATAAAGAACGATCAGGATCATCAGCCATATTGGAGTCAGTCTCATCTGGACGATCGACTTCATTTCCCTGGTTTTGACGCACATAAGGAAAATATTTTATCATCCAGAAGAGATGTTGACTCTTTCAACAAAGACTGTCAGAGTACCATGATCGACAGAGCGAATTACGGAACCTATCAAAGACCGAAGAACGACATGGCACTGACTGATCCTAATCGTTCTGATCGCAGTCCCGTCTCTGAAAACAGACATCCGTATTCCTTCGACGGCTATCAAATATTTGAGGACTCAAATTCAAAAAATCATCAATCGATCGTTCGACCGTCTCATCCAAGATCGAATAACATCGGACTTGACGAAAGATCTCAAAACGTTTACGGAACGCAAGAGACGAACCCTGAAGTGACCGAAAGACTCTTTCCTGAGGCCACGACGATCGAGCCCTCTGTACAATCTCAAAATAGTCCAGAACCTTTCTTCTATTCAAACAACGATCGTTGTCATTACACCTGTGAGGTCCTTGATACCCGATTGCCTCAAATGACAATGACAAACACAGCTCCCGTTCATCATCCAGTTAACGGTTACAGTGACGTCGCTGATATAGATCTCCCACCTTTCGTAGACTATACTCTCGTTGGGATGCTGTGCAGTTCTACAGAGGAGGATACGACGACAAGTATGATGACTGGCTGTCCTCCGAACTCTCAAACTTTCGTTCCTCATCACTAAAAAACAAAGAAAAAAAGATAACACGTTCCTTCGTCCGACATATGAATTTGTATTATAAATAAATATATTACGTTAGTTGCACCACGAATAACTGTGCAATAGAGATTTAATCCCATTTAATCAGACATGATCGCGTCGAAAGGGCTAAAATATATATACATATAAACAAATAAATATATATATATATATATATATATATATATGTGTATATTTTTCAGCCCTATATGTTTACAAGTACATAATACATATATATGTATATATATGTACTTCAAGAAAGAGTGAAAAGGATAAGATTGAGGGAATAGCTCCTACACGAAAGTACTCGAGTTCTCTATATAACTTTGAAAAAAGTCACATCGTTTATTTGTAATTGTATTTATTCGTAACAGATACTCTCACGATCACAATTGTATGTATATTATGTAATATTATTGTATACCTATGGGTTACACTTTCTCGATTACATACGCAATATCTTTTTTTTCGCCTTATTTCTTTCTTTTTCTTCTTATTTCTTTTTTTTTTCTTTTTGTTCTTTTAAATCTCTTTTATTCTCGATCATTGGCAAACGTAAAAGAGAGGATGCACGAACGAAACGGGTGCGAATCCGTCTACGCAAACAACGCACGTCAACCAACGAGAGAGGATACTCATGTGAATAATTTATATATATATATATATATATAAAACATATTTCCTTTCTTTTATAGTATTTTGAGAAAGAACTATCCGAGATTTGGAATTAAAAAATAATTAAATAAAAGAATGAGTCAGTTATGAACCATTTTGAGTTACAATTATAAAAAAAAAAAAGAACAAAAAAGAAGAAAAAAAATAGAAATGAAAATGAAAAAAGAAAAAAAACCAAGAAGGACAAATGAAAAAAAAAGCTTTCTCTCGTTGATACGTTTCGTTATGTCAATTATGTTTGCGAATCAAAGCGAACAAATTCATACTTTAAATTTCTTTTAGCTCGATATTGCCACAGCTCAGATCTAACGTAATCAAATGTCTCATCAAAATGTTTTATTTAATTATGATCGATTGTCCAAAAAAAAAAAAAGAAAACAGTAAAAGTAAACCAATAATAGATTAGTTCCACTTTCTGTCTCTTATCGCTATCATATACCTTATTCTGTTAGAGTTCCCTTCTCGTGGTTCTAAATACTATCTGAAGAGAAAAGAGAAAGAGGAAGAGAAAGACGAGGAGAAGAAGGAAAAAGATAAGATAGATAAATAAAGAAGAGAGAGAGAGAAAGAGAGAAGGGAAAAATTAAGAGAAAAGAAAGAAATGATTTTACAAATTATTTGAATAACATTCTTATCAAAACAGATCACAAACGTGTAAAACGAACACACATATTTATCTATACACACACATATATATATATATATATATATATATATATATTGTTTAGGCATCTAATGGTAAGTAAAAAAAAAAAACCTTAATAGTCATAGGATCGCTAAAAAAAAACAATAAGAGCAACACTGCTCTTTCTCCTCTTTTGCGGACGTTAACACTCACGATAAACGTTTTTTTCTTCTCTTTTATTATTTCTCTTCTTATTTTAATATTTTCCTTTTAGAATCACGGCATTTTCTATATTCACACTTCTCATTTCTCCATTTTCTAATTTTTCTAAATATATATCTATATTGTTTTTGTATGTGTGTTCATCTATGTATATGTGTCTGTGTGTGTGTGTGTGTGTGTGTATATGCCTGTAACTTTTCTTAATACCATTACAAAATATTTCTGAGATGTGGCTCCGAGACATGCTTCGCACCCATCCATGCAATTACATGTTTTTACTATTTTTTTTTCTTTTTTTTTTTTAGGAAAGAAGGTTCACGAAATCATATTATTTTTTCTTTTCATATTTTATATTTTCTCGTTTTATCACGAATATCGTATATTTAACGATAGGACAGTATCTTATTCCGACTGTATTATCGTATCCCGTTTTTTCTTTTTTCTTTTTTTTTTTTTGTTTTTTTTTTTGTTTAATGGTCCACAACGTTGAATGATCGCTCGTAATGTTTTTTTTCTCGCTGATTGAACTTAATCGATCGGCCATCTTTTAATCAGGCACACGGGTCGTTGTCTCTCTCTCGACATTTTAGGGAAGAAAAAAAACTTATTTATTTCGCTATTATTATCGATAAATAATGTACATGCACATATGTTGCAGGCACGTTACTTTGATACCCGAATTTGTTAAACAGACATCTAAATCATAGTTCCATCGACGAGATAGCGATCCAAGATCGAGCAAGAAAATAATGGAGCAGAATCATGAACGTTGGAAGAAACGAAGAAAAGAAATAATATGAATTGTCAAAGAAATAATACAAATAAAAATAAAATTAAAAAAACGAATGAACTCCCGATCATTTCTAATTCTGCTCTCAACAAAAAGTATCGAAGTATCTTCGAAAAATAAAAGAAAAACAGAAAGATTCTCTCTTTGATCCATGGCTCTCAATCTCTTCGATTGGATCGTTTTGAAAATGCACGAGAAATCCGGGTTTATTCGTTTAGCGAGCGAACATCGATAATAAAAGAAAGAAATATCCAAGATTCGATTGAATCGGGGAGAGGAGGAGGAGAAGGAGTGAGGGAAGGACGAGGGCCAAGATTTTCATTAAAAGAAAAGTATGTCGAATCAAAATACATCGAGAAGAGACTACGTTATTATTCAATAAGATTCATTCTCTTCGACATCGCTTTTCAAGAGTCCAGAGTCAATTAAAAATGAATTATTCCAAAATTATTCCACGATGGAAACGCAAAGCGCAACGGCGAGTGACCGTTTAACGACGTTGCGATTAAACGTTTGCCAACGTGTTTATTTGCAAAAATACGAATTGATATAACGATAATTCAAATATACGTTAGATATATACGCCTAAGAAATCTTGTGGACCAGCTGAACGAACGAGAAAATAATAATCTCGATGATATCCATCAATTGCAATCGTCGAAGTGCAATCCTCTTATCAAATTTACATACTCCTCGTTGGTTTGATCAATAAATTTAGCAGGTTCAATTAATCCCTTGGCTTGTCATTCTCTGTCTGTGTGATCTTTAAAAGAACACGATACGTAGAATAGCAGACATTTAAAAATACGATATAGTTCAATAATCTATAGCATACCTTTGAGATAAACGAAACAATTAAATATCTGCTCTTCATTTTCCTTTCATTCGATTCGAATCTCGCGAAACTTATCATACGCATCGTCGCAGACATTTATACGGATTTATGATAAATTAGCATATATCTTCCTTCGTTCCTTAAAAATTACTTAGCCTTTAATAAACCTTAGCCCGTAGCAGCGAGTTAGATTCTTTCGAAAATATTATTTAACATAGACGGAGACGGTGTATGAACGTGCGTGTCTGCGTATTTCTACTTGTTGGAGGGTTATTATTTCGATAATAAAAGCCGAGCATTTGTTATTTTGCATTGAACGGATCGAAAAAATTGGGCTAATAGGAACCGTAGGTCGCACGCACGTGAATCAGCTATAGTTTATATGCTCTCGTGCAACATCGATATTAAATAGATTAAAAAAGGCCTCGTTGTCGAATAACCATCGGCCACGAGAATAAGAGAGGGAAGTATTCTTTTACCTATAACGTTCGTCGAGGAGACAGAGAGTGATAGAAATTGATATAGAATGTGTCAATGAAAGAAAGTAAGAGATATATATATGTGTATATATATGTGTGTGTATATATATATATATATATATATATATATATATATATATATATATATATAGAGAGAGAGAGAGAGAGAGAGATCCTCTTACTCCTCAACGAAATTCATACTAAATTCCTGCTATGCGTACATATGCATATTCATGCGCGAGCACGAATATAATAATAATTCTTTTTCTTGACGAGTCGAGAGAGCAATTAAGAGCTATCAATGCGCTAAAATCGAAGCGGGCGAGTCATTTTCTCGATAAATTCGAGTTACAACCTACCGAGCGTCTTTATCTTATATATGTTAGCACATTTTACAAACATATTTCTTTTTTTTTTTTTTTTTTTCTTTTTTCAATGTTTGCTGTGATTATAGATTTTCGCTTTACAAAGGACATTCCCATGTTCGTATGCGTTTAACACTTCCTCGTTTAAAAAAGAAAAGAAAAAAGAAAAAAAGAAAAATAAAGAATACATTTTACTTTCGTTCTTTTTTTTTTTTATTTTTTTTTTTTTTTTTTTTTTTTTTAAGGAAAGAACAACAACATGCGAACGATCAAATATGTCGCTTTTCTTGGCGATTGGAATTAACGTTAATTAATAAGAATAAGTAAGTAAAAGTGAAAATGTCGAGCTTAACGATCACAGCTACTGCAACGATACTACGAATAATATCTTTAACGTTACGCGAAAGAAATGAAATAGAATCGACGGCAGATAAGTAACGATAGGGCTATGATCAAAAAAGATGAGTTGCGAAGCGAAATCCCGGTTCTTTCTTTCTAAGAGACTAAAACTTCAGTTTGCAATAATTTTTTTTTCCTTTTTCATTATTATTATTATTATTTATTATTATTTATTATTATTTATTATTTATTATTATTATTATTATTATTATTATTATTATTATTATTATTATTATTATTATTATTATTATTATTATTATTATTATCGTCATCATCATCATCATTATCATCATCATCATTATCATTATCGTCATTATCATTATCATTATCAACATCACCGTCATCACCGTCATCATCATTATCATCATCATCATCATCTTCATCTTCATTATCATTATCATCATCATCATTAAATCATCATCATTATAATCGTCATCATTATAATCATCATCATAATCATCGTTATCTTTATATATGTAAGTGACCTCGATCGCGTGGACACCGATCAGATTAATAGAAAAAAATATACGCGAGTGTATGTGTGTATATATATTTATAAAATTCATTCTACTACGCACAATTTTGTTTCTTCGTAATCTTTTTCTTTTATCTTTTTCATTTTCCTGTTTTTTTTTTCTTTTTTTCGTTTTCTCCTTTATACTCAATATCAGATAAACCCAAAATTACAAACCCGCGTTTTATTTAAGCTAAATTGTATTCCAGATTC